GGAAAAAGGTTAAAAACTTTCTCTTCTCCTGTGCCAGTCTCCCCAGTGAAATCATAACTCCAGTGGCTGCAGTTTTGTAAAAAATATAGAAAAGCATTGATTGGAAGGATCAAGGAACTCTAAAATGGTGTTCCACCTTTATTCATGGTCATTATTAGGATAGTAACTTTCTACAATACGAAGAGGCGCTATCCAAGAGTGCCACTTGACTAGGGTTGCCATATTGCTCAGTTGCCAGCTGCCTGGGGAAAAAATATCCTGACCCTTTAATAGAGGATAAATGAGATGTTAACTACCTCCATGCCATGAAAAGCTTTAACTGCCCATTTTCACACATTAGACCTCTGTTAAGGGAACAGAACATTTCCCTCCAGGCCTGTTGGCAACCCTAGTTTTACGTCTAGTCATGCCACTCTGTGCTTGTTTAGCATGTTAACTGAGCTAGATTCTCCATTTTTTAAAAAAAGTAAGTATCGAAGTCTCGTAGACTGGGGGCGACAGAAGGGAAACAATGAAATATAGTTTTCTGCTTAACTGTGCAGTAGAAACAGGCATATTCTATCTTCCCTTTGTTCTAGCCAATGAGGGATGTCATGGCTGTGCCCGATTGTTTGGGGAAACTCTTTGGCTCAATATTGCTGTGTGGTGTAGGGAAATATTTGGGATTTGCAGCTACACTATGCACATCTGTTTAGGAGGCTGTCCTGTTTCCATTACTAGGATTCACTCACTACTGCCCGTGAGACTTTAAGGCTGCTGCCCAATTCACGATAGTAAACTTAATGGAAACCATTGGAACACACTGAAATCAATAATGGGTAGGTGTGCTTCTTATTTCAGCTGGCTGTGAGGAGTTTCCATTTCTCTTAAGACTACATGCTAAGATTTTTGTGTATTCAACCTCAGGGAGAAAAGCAAACAAGACCCTTCTACAAAAGAGCTTCTCTGGAATGTTAACTCCAGAGCCAAGTGTTGCGGGAACAGCAGAATCAGAGGCCACAGGGCATAATGCCTTTCTCTGTCTCTCCCCTACACAAGCTGGGTCTCAGAACAGAGCAGTGGTGGGACTCATGAAGAGCCACAATTGCAATTCTCATCAACCAAAAGAGCCACACGACTACACGACAGCAAACACACACATGCAATAATATAAGTCTAGTGAACTTTGTACTTTACTGAGCTTTCCAGCCTGCCTTGAGTGATCCTTGCAAAGGGACAGAATAAATTAATGGCAGGATTCGAATCAATAACTGCGATCCAAAGCATACCTAGCGGAGTAAGCAACATGGATTCTTTGATAAACATGCTGCAGATAGGATGGGTGTAGCGAGCTTGGCCAGCCTAAGCACTCAGCAGACTCCACATATACCTGACCCTTCTTACTCTGCCAGGACGCTTTTAGTATTTCGGTATGTATGGAGCTGCGGTGGCTCAAGTGGTTAAGACGCTGAACTGCAGGCTGTGGAAGGTCAGTAGTTCAGTGGTTCAAGACCCGGGTGCCGCAAGACAGGGTGAGCTCCTGTCTCTAGTTCCAGCTCCTGCCAACCTAGCAGTTCGAAAGCAAGAAATTGCAAGTAGATAAATAGGGACCACTTCGGTGGGAAGGTAACAGCGTTCCGTGCGCCTTGGTGTTTAGTCATGCCGGCCACATGACCACGGAAACGTCTTCGGACAGCGCTGGCTCTTCGGCTTTGAAACGGAGATGAGCACCGCAACCCTAGAGTCGGATTCGACTGGCTTTCGAGCAAGGGAACCTTTACCTTTTTACCTATGTATTAATACCCTAAATGTATTAATAATCACTACGTTCCTAAAAGTAGAAAAACAGGAGATCTCTGAGTTGCTATAAAATATTAAATGCCACATATTTAGCGGTAAAATAAAACCGGTTCCATAGTATAGCAAAACTTGAATAAAAGCTGCACAGAGAACACCTTCGTAGTTCTCCTTTAAATCCTCTCCAGTTTGAAAAGCATTACATTAGGAAAGGAAAAGCTGATAAAGCCTTGGCTGGCACGGACTTCAGAGCAAGAGAAAAGACTTCCCTTTCAAAAGCCTTCCGCAAAACTTCTATTCTCATTCGTGGGGGGCGGACTATTTAGCCACAGGAGCTAAAAGTGAACACCGCCTCCCCCCACTTACTAGCTGAAATCCGATTGGTTGAAACTAGTCGTTCGTCAGAGAAAGCGGCACCCGGGTCCCCCCCCCCCTCAACATTTTCTAGAGCAGAAATCCCAGTGAATTAGAACATTTTAGAGTCGCGGAGTTTCCCTTTGACGGTGGTTCTTAGGGCAGGGGATCCCTGGCTAGCTGAGCAGCCGCCGAAGAGTCAACCCCGCGGACCAATCCAAGCACTCGTTTGAATGGGAACCTTCCCAGGCCGTGTCCGGGACGGAC